TTTTCCATTTCATGCTTCATTCTGAAGAACTGGTGGGAAGTGTTGGCCTTCCCAGAAGAGATGGCCTCTCCTAGCCCTGAGCTTCTGGGAGATCTCTGAAAGCCTTAGCTTTCTCTGACCATGCCCTTCTGCCTCCAGTCATGACTTGTGCTGACCCTGGTGAGATAACCAATGGCCACCGTACTGCCTCGGATGCTGGCTTCCCTGTTGGCTCCCATGTCCAGTATCGCTGTCTGCCAGGGTACAGCCTGGAAGGGGCGGCTGTGCTCACCTGCTACAGCCGGGACACAGGCACCCCCAAGTGGAGCGACCGAGTCCCCAAATGCGCCTGTGAGTCTGGGGAACACCTCAGGGAGGGTGGCTGGGTAGCCTTTCGGGAGCGCCTGTCTGCCCTGTGCTCAGCACAGCTGGCGTGTGACTAACACACTCTCCGCAGTGAAGTATGAGCCGTGCCTGAACCCCGGGGTTCCAGAGAATGGCTACCAGACATTGTACAAGCATCACTACCAGGCTGGCGAGTCTCTGCGCTTTTTCTGCTATGAAGGCTTTGAGCTTATCGGCGAGGTCACCATCACCTGTGTGCCTGGCCACCCTTCGCAGTGGACCAGCCAGCCCCCACTCTGCAAAGGTGCCTCGGCAGACAGGGCAGGAGGGGCACATCAGAGTTTGGGGAGTGACAGGGCTGGGAAAGTCAGGTAGCAAATTCACAGACCAGTGGGGAACCCTGCTGAGTTCCTCCATTCTCCTCCCATGGGCTCTCATTCTCACAGTATGTCCAGAAGTCCTGAGAATTTGGACATCATAGAATTACCCTAAATGGTGTATAGAGGGGCCATTGGTTTGAAAGTCCCTTGCCCTCTCTGGATAGGCCTGTTTCCCTATGTGACAAATTCTAAAGCCTTGTTTGGCTTAGACTGTCCAGGAACCTTGAACTTTAGGGGCCTAGAGGAGGAAGAAGGCTCTGCCCTGATCACTCCTCTCTCCCCCACCCCCCAACCGAGGGGAAGATAAAACTTAAGTTGAACAGAGGGCAGAGAGAACCAGGCTGTCTAGCCAGCCCCACCAGGCTCCCAGCCCTCTACCCAGCTTCCTTCCCTCCCTGGCTCAGACCGGGTCCCTCCCCCTCCTCTCCCTGCAGTGGCCTATGAAGAACTCCTGGACAACCGAAAACTGGAAGGTCAGTGAGGGCACAGGTGGAGACCCAGGCCTGGCCAGGTTGGGAGGGCAAGGCAGAGGCTGGGGGCAGGCGGCCAGGCCCCAGAGGGGTGAGGCCCAGGGTTCAGGGTCCGGGCAGGAGGCTGGGAGAGCCCATGACTGGGCCCAACCTCAGCTCACTGGCCTCTCCTCCTCCCCCAGTGACCCAGACTACAGACCCCTCACGGCAGCTGGAGGGCGGGAACCTTGCCTTGGCCATCCTGCTGCCCCTTGGCCTTGTCATTATCCTCGGCAGTGGCGTTTACATATACTATACCAAGTAAGTACTCTACTCAGGGAACTGCCAACTAAGGCAGATGTCTTGCCTGCCTGGCACAGGCGCCTGGGTGAGGGGACCTCAGGGACTCACCTGTTGATAAACCCCTTATCCTCTCCCTTTCCTAGGCTTCAGGGAAAATCCCTCTTCGGCTTCTCGGGCTCCCACTCCTACAGCCCCATCACTGTGGAGTCGGACTTCAGCAACCCGCTATACGAAGCTGGGGTGAGCCCCTCCCCTGCCCCTGAAGTTCCACATCTCTCAGCTACCCTAGGACCTTCTCTCAAGATCTCTGTAATCTCTGTCTTGGGAATTTCAATCTCAGCTGCCTACAGAGGCCATGTCAATGTGCAAAGCAAACCATGCAGGAACAATAGGGACTGGTGAGGACTGTGTCTAATTGGAGATCGTGTGCTCCATCTAAAGGAGACAGCACTGGTCTATAGTGGAAACTTAAGCTCAATTGCCAGGTCTTCCTGTTGTTCAAGACAATCTGGAAATTTAGATTTCTGTGTTGTTTTGAGACACTACAGAATGAACCCAGCATATCTATTGGTCAGATTCAGCCCCATTCCTGCCCTGTGCCTTCTCCTCAAGTGCAACCTCCCTCCCCTATCCCACAGACATTTATTGATTTAAAAGTAATCAATGTTACTTTTAAAACCGCAGGGTCTTTCCTGCTCCTTAGGGATGCCTCCTCCCACTTTGCTGCCTCCTCCACCCGCATCCATTCCAACTAATTTGATCTCTCTGTCTTCAGGATACACGGGAGTATGAAGTTTCCATCTGAACCCCAAGACTAAGGCTGCAGGACCCAGGATACCCCTCCCCTCCTCATTTGAGGCAGTGGAGTACAGAACCTGGTCTTGAACTCCTAGCTCCCCTCTTCCCTGGCAGTGTAAATAGTCTCCCCATCCCATGAGGGGGCTTTGATGGCCCTGGAGACCCTACAGTAAATAAACCAGCATCCTGCCGCCCAAAGCTGCCTCTTCTCAGTTGCCAAACAGAGGGCCTTCCCCCCCAACTGGCTTTTGAACCCTGGGAGGGGAACTCAGCCCCTCTGCAACACTTGGGGCCCCTCCAGCCCAGGGCACCTCCCCAAGGACTGCCCAATGGCCTTACTGTTCCCTTGGCCACAAAGATCCCTCACCTCCTGGATGCTCTGGCTCCAGGCCTGATTCCTGGGCCATAAAGGGTCAGAACAAGAAGGATGAAGGGGAGAGATGGAACAAGGCCCTGCCCCCTTCCTGCCATCTTCCCAACCCACAATCTCTCCACCTTTGCTTCTGGATTCTTGTTTTTGAGCAATAAACAGAAAATCACCACTTGTAACTGGGCTGGTGGGGCGTGGGAAAGTGAGTTATAGAGCATTGAAGATGGTGATGATGACCTCTCTGGAGAGAGGGCTGGGGAAAGGGGAACAATTTGGGGAAAAGAAAGAAATCCATAAGTGGGCAGAGGGCAATGTCAAGGGGGGCTGGCCTGGGGTCTAAAAGCCTGGCTTTAGGCTCAGCCTCCATGACAGACTGGCTGTGACAAGTCCCTCCAGCCACTGCTAACTCTCCACCAGGCCTTGGCATGGCTGGGTTCTCCCCAGCTGTAAGGTAGCTGGCAAGAGCAACCCTCCTCCCTCACTGCTGGGCAGGAGGCAAACGGCTTCCAGTTTGTTTTATGACCAGTTTATCTAAAATTCAACCCATTTTGAGAATTTGTATGTCCATTCAAGTATATCATTCATTTTTTCTTTTACAATCTTTCTGGTATTTTAAGTATTATCTGCTGTTACATGTCTACCAATTTGAGCTTGGTTTGTATCCTTGTGGGTGCCCTTTTCTATTTTACCTACTTTTGAACATTATAAGGAATTTATAGCCTATTTATCTAAAGAGTCTTTTTTCAAATTAACTGAATTTTGAGTAATTAAAATTTATATTTAAAAACAATTAAAATTTTTAGGATAGGCTCAGTGCCTATAGCTCAGTGAGTAGGGCGCTGGTCACATACACCGAGGCTAGCGGGTTCGAGCCTGGCCTGGGTCTGCTAAACAACGACAACTGCAATAACAACAAAAAGAATAGCTGGGCACTGTGGCAGGCGCCTGTAGTCCCAGCTACTTAGGAGGCTGAGACAAGAGAATCCCTTATGCCCAAGAATTTGAGGTTGCTGTGAGCTGTGATGCCATAGCACTCTATTGAGGGCAACATAATGAGACACTGTCTCAAAAAAAAAAAAATTGTTTTTTAGAACACTCCAAAGAATGTTGAAGTACTCAAAAGCGGGTTAAATTTTATAATTCACATGAGGCAAACTGATCAAGATTAATAGTTTAAGTTTTTAAGTATTCTGTGCCAACACTGTGCTAAATACTTTGTATGCTTTTTTTTTTTTTTTTTTGAGACAGACCCTCAAGCTGTCACCCTGGGTAGAGTGCTGTGACATCACAGCTCATAGCAACCTTCAACTCCCGAGCTTAAGCGATTCTCTTGCCTCAGCCTCCCAAGTAGCTGGGACTACAGGCGCGTGCCACAGCGCCTGGCTAGTTTTTGGTTGGAGTTGTCATCGTTTGGCAGGCCTGGGCTGGATTCAAACCTACCAGCTCTGGTGTATATGGCTAGTGCCTTAGTCTCTTGAGCTACAGGTGCCAAGCCATATGCATTATGTTTTTTAACCCTCACAAGGACCCTGTGAGACAGGGATGTTTTATTATTCCCATTTTTCAAATAAACAGGTTTATTTGAGGTTCAAATAAGGTTCAAATGTGAAATGACTTCCTCAGGAGCTTCCAATAAATGGCCAAGGTGGGATTTACATACAAACTCCACAAACCCTACTGTACTGCCTTCTGGCTAGTGATTTGTTCCCATAAGCACAAAGGCCTCAAAGCTCAGAGGGGAGAATTCACAGCTTAGGGTCCATCAACATCCACAGTGGTGGCAGAGGTAGCTCCTTAGAAGCAAGAGTGGGCTCTCTGTGATGCCACAGGCCTAGGCCTTAAGGCAGTGGTTCTCAACCTGGGGGTCGCGACCCCTTTGGGGGTCGAACAACCCTTCCACAGGGGTCGCCTAAGACCATTCTGCATATCAGATATTTACATTATGATTCATAACAGTACCAAAATTACAGTTAATGAAGTAGCAACAAAAATTATGGGGCAGTGCCTGTGGTTCAAAGGGGTAGGGCACCAGCCCCATATGCCAGAGGTCACGGGTTCAAACCCAGCCCCAGCCAAAAACTGCAAAAAAATAATAATAATAATAATTTTATGATTAGGGGTCACCACAACATGAGGAACTGTATTAAAGGGTTGCGGCAGTAGGAAGGTTGAGAACCACTACCTTAAGGTGTTGGAGTTTGGCTAGGAGGCTGGGTTTGGATACATGAGCTCACCTCTGCCAAGAGGCTGACAGATAACTGCCTGGATTAAAACCATTCCAATAGTATGCCCACACTCAACATCCACATCCAGAAAAGAAAAAAAAAAAAAAACTCCCCTCCCACACCTCCACACCAGAAAAGTCACACTAGAGCATTGCCTGAATTGGAGGGAATGGGGGATCCCTGCCTCTTTATTAAAGCCTTTTACTCCTGGTGGTGTCCTTGCTGGCTGAGGGTGGAGAGTGGTGTGATGATTCCAGAATGCTTTGGTGGCTTCAGGGTGATAACCAGGAGTCCTCCCAAAGCTGGTGTTTAACGAGTTGCAAGAGAGGAATTTTGAGGCATGCTCTAGGAACAAAAGGGGGGAGGCTATGAGAAGCCAGAAGCAACACCACAGAGGCTGAGGTTCATTCTCGAGAAGACAGGCTGTTAGGAGGAGCTCCCTAGGAGAGATTAAGAGCCTTTTAACTCTTTAGACCCAACGTTCATGTCTTTTTATCCTTCCATCCTCCCCATCTATCCAACCCCTATCTACCACCCATCCATTCATCCACACACCATTCACCATTGATCATTCATCCCTATATCTAGTCATCCACCCACCTTCATCCATCCATCCACACATCTATCCATCACTCCCTGTCCATTCTTCCATTTGCCTATCCATCTGACCATCCTGTCACTCATCCATCCACCTACCCATTCATCTCTCTTCTAATTACCCCCCATTTAAACTTATGGAGAATAAAGACCCTATTTTGCTCACTGCAACACTCCAGCTCCTAGTGCAGTGCTGGCACATAGTAGGTGCTTAATACATGTTCAGTGAACTTATCCTTTATTAACCCATTTATCTACCATCCTACCTGCTCACCTATTCTCCCACCCAACATTTTTGACCAGCTACAATGCCCCATTCAAGATCTGTAGGCTTCCATGTTCTTTCTTGAGGGTGAGGAAGGAAAAGACTCCTGGGTGCTGGCAGTAGGATGACGGGAAGGTGTTAACTCAGGATGAAATCCTTAATCATGTACCATTTGGGAAGGAAGGGCAAAGTACTGTGCGAACAGACAGGGCCCTCACAGAGCATCCTGATGTATGGGATGGTGGGAAACAAGTTGTATGATGCTATCAAGTTAACAGTAGATTAGTTATCATGGCACAGGCTTTTCTGCTACTTTAGGGTGTTTCTAATACCACGCCCAATGGGGAGAGATCAAATGTGGCACTACAGGTGGCCCCTGTGGCTCAGTGGGTAGGGCACCAGCCCCATATACCGAGGGTGGTGGGTTTGAACCTGGCCCAGGCCAAAATGCAACAACAACAACAAAAAATAGCCAGGCATTGTAGTGGGTGCCTGTAGTCCCAGATACTTGGGAGGCTGAAGCAAGAGGATTGCCTAAGCCCAGGAGTTGGAGATTGCTGTGAGCTGTGACTCCACAGCACTCTACCAAGGGCGGTAAAATGAGACTCTTATCTCTAAAAAAAAAAAAGTGGCACTAGAGGACAAGAACAGTGGTTTATTCTCAACTGTTTTACACCTGCTCAGGTCTTGGTGATGAGTACTAGATGTAGTGGTGCAAGCCAGAGAAACAACTATCCAACCATTCCCATGGCTTGGTGAACCTGGCACGTAACAGACACTCAGTAAACATTTGCTGACTGTCAGTTCCTTCTCTGCATTCATGAAGCTCTCTCTCCTCTGCCAACCTCTTACCTGGAGAGGTTCTCTAAGACTCCATCCTCAGCATCCTCTTCCTGCTCATTCTTCTGCTCAACCCTCCCAGGGCAACCACACATCCACCCTTCAACTGTCATCTCCCTCCTGATGACCTCCAGATCAGTTCTCTTTCACCAGTCTAAGACTCTTAAGTGTTTTGAACCCATATTTCCAATCCCCTCGAGAGTATTACAGCCTGCAGTTCCCATGAGCACCTCAAACCCAATGTGCCCAAAGGCAGGAGTGTGCCTGCCACATTCCAAGAAGAATGAGAAGGCAGGTATGGCTGAATGGGGGGAAAAGGAGAGATGGTACAGGCAATAAAGGCAGAGAGACAGTGGGTTGGAGGGAGGGAGCAATCACATAGGACTTTGTAAGCCCCTTTGAAGATCTTTGCCTTTTACTCTGAAATGGGAGGCAGCTGGAGAACTCTGAGCAGAAATGTAACATGATCAGATTTAGGTTGCACAAGCAAGAAACCTGGATGTCTTCGGATTACTTTTTTTCCCTCCTACCATTTCTAAACAATTTTACCAAAATTGTCAGTCTTCCTGGTCTTTTTCTCATATGTGCTCCTTATCCCTCCTCCACTAGTACTGTGACAACTTAGGACCTAATCATCTCTCTAGCTTGGTCTCTTTGAAAAAATTCTAATCAACCTCAAGGCTTTCCTCTTCCTAGGTCACTCTCTCCACTTACTACAAAAATGACTGATCTAAAATTCCACCCTTCCTGGCTCAAACTCTTCAATGGCTCCTCATTTAAAGGAAAATATCTAAGGATCTTAAGAAGGTACACATCAAGTCTCTCTTGGTCAGTCCCTGGCTACCTTGTCTCCAGGCTCCAGCAACTAAACTGCTTCAGGTCCCACCTCTCCCTGCCCTATGCACACATACACATGCTTATATTCTCTCTAAGATCCACCTTTGCCTTTGCTTATGCAATCCCTACTGCTTGGATACTCCTACCAACCCTTTTTTCCCGGAAAATTCTTTCTTTAGGTGTCACCTTCTTCAGAAAGCTCCATGATTCTTTTCCTTGCTGTCCCAAATGAGACTGGGATAAGTACTCTCCTTGTTTTCATTTCTACTATTGGCCCATATTCATATTATAATTGGCCATTACTTGTCTGTCCCCATACTAAACTGTGAAGTTTTTGAATGTTCAGACTGTGTCATTTATTTCTGTGTTCGAAGCTCCTAAGACAGGGACAGGTATACAGTGCAAACTTGATTTAGTTACTATGGAATGGCTTCATCATACAAGGACCCTGTACATACCTTTTCACGAGGGGAGGGCAAGAGGTGTGCCTTGGTGCGCATACGGTTTCTGTCAGAGCTGGAGATGGCAGAAGAGGAAAGAGGACTGAGAACTCTGAATTTGAGTGTCACAGCAGAACAGCAAAGAACTGCATGGTTCAAAAATCCCCCTACCCTACTGGGATGTTGTCAGATCCTCACTCTCTCCCCTATAGGCATCTCATTGTTTTCCCAGGACAAAGGGCATATCCCTTGAAGACTCACTTACCGGGTGTCTGTGCCTCGGGTCTTGGTGAAGAACACTAGAAGTAGAGGTCCCAGTCAGAGAAATGACTATCCCATGGCCAGACAGAGATGTGGCTGGGTTGGAGGGGCTGAGGGCTGAGGGGATTCCTGGCCAGCAGTGAGGACTGGGTACCCGGTTAGTGGGGGTGCTGTGTGGGGTCTGGGGGCTGGCCATCGGGTGGGGTACTCCCAGATTCGTGGAGACCAGGCCAGGGATGGGAACTAGAAAGGGTCTCTAGACACAGTGGTCCTGAGGTGGGTGTCACCATGTCTGGATATCTGAGTCCCTTGGTCTTGTGTTTGTTTTTCCTTGATAGGCACAGCATTCATATGGCAGCGAGCCATAAACAAGGCCTCGTCTGTGAGTTCTGTGCTGATCCGAGACAGGAATTCCTCAGAACGGGATAATGAAACCTTCTGGGAAAGGAAAAGTCAGAGAAGCTTAGCCTGGGAACTCCTACATGCAAGTCCTGGGTCCATGGAGCCTGGTATTGAAGGGCTGGGCCTTGAGATTTGGCTAGAAGCCCCTGGACATAGGGGGCAGGGCAGTCTTTGGGGCCTCAAGGCTTAGTACTGAGGGCTTGGGCCTGAGAGCTTAGGATTTAGGCTAGATTGGGGCTCAGTCTTGGGACTGGGGGCCTCTGCCTAGGAGCTTCTCATTTCATTACACTCCCACTTCTAGAGCTCCCCTTCAGTGCTCACCGGATCTCCAGTCAAGGAGGATACAGCTTGAGACTGCCAGCTGCCCTTTTTCTCTTCATTCCTGGTAGGAGTGGATGCCATCACCCTGTAAACAGTCAAAGCTTGGTTTACTCTGAGAAGCCAGCCCATGTTTCCCCAGAACTCCTACTCAGGCCCAGATTTAAACAAAGCCTAGGATGAAATACCCCGCTGTCTACTTTCTCTTTGGGGGGTGATTGTTCTGCCTTATATCTTCAGGGGCCCTCATAACTCTCTTCCCATTTCACCCAGAAGGCCCCTCCCTCCTTCCCTCCAGGGCCCTTCCCAAGCCAAGGCAGCCGACTTGCCGCCCCAACCTGGCAGATGGGTTGAAATCTTAGGCTACTCGGCAGGAGGGGAGACGGGAGGTCTAAGGTCACCCGTTACAGGTCGCAGGGGTCGGGGAGTGGGAGGTGGGGAGAAAGGCTGGAAGGAAGGAGGAGCCCGGGCGGCGCCACTACCCGTTGCTATAAAAACCTTGGTGGTGGCGGAGGTTCCACAGCCCCGTTGTTAGGTGATTAGGGGTTCTAGAACTAAACACGGGGGTATTTCCCTAGTGTGCCGCATTCGTTCCCCCGACCTCCCCTCCGTATCCCTCCAGGTTCCTTTTGGGGGGCAATGACCCTATGCACCAGAGGCTTGAGAAGTTTGGGGAGATTATATAGGGTGGAGCCTGGGACCTGATCCTCCCGCCACTAGGGGCACGCAGGCAGCAACCCCACTCCGGGCCGCTCTTCAGCCTCTCTAGCCGTCACTTAGCTAAACTGGAACCGGCGAGGGCAAAGGAGGCCAGCGAGTTAGGGGGCGGGGACAAGAAATGTGGACTGTACTAAACAGCCTCATGTCTAGGGGTTGCAAAGACTCAGGAGGGAGGAATCTTATCGCCTTATCTTTGTCTCTAGGAAGTCAGACCTTCCTTAAAAAGAAAGTCACAGATATTCCTCTAGGTCTCCTTCTCTTTTGCTCTTTCCTTTTCATTTCCTTCGTTTGCTCGGCGTCGATGGTTCTTTGCTCCTTCTCCTTCTTCCGCGCTTTGGTACAAGCCTATGGAAAGGGGAGGAGGGAGGAAAAGGAAGAGGAAGCGGGCAGGTCTTAAAGGGGACACAGCCATTTTTAGAGCAGCTTTTTCCTCTTTCCAGTTGTACCGCGACTATCGTAGAAGAGCAGTTTCTTGGAAGCTAAGCACATCTGGAGCAGCTGGGACCGCTGCTGGAGGCGGGAGCGCCCGCAGGGCGGGCGGAGAGGAGGGGCTACCCACTGGAAGGGCGGGGTGTTCGTGCCCCTTGTGCCCAGCGCACATCTGGGTCGGCTCATGCTCCAGCAGACTGCGAGCTTTAACATCTGGGGCCGGGCCAGGGCAGCAGCGTCCAGTGCGCAGGTGGCGCGGCCCATGTGCCGGGCCGGCGGGTGAGGCCGCGCGGCGGGGCTGGGACAGTGCTGGCACCTCCTGAACGGGCCCGAGGCGGCAAGGGGGCGGCCGCGATGCCAGGCGAAAATATCTTTCTGTTCGTGCCTAACCTCATCGGTGAGTGCAGCCCGTGGCCCCGGGCGGCAGGGGAGAGCGAGGGGCCTTGGGCAGTCTCTCTGATCCCGCCCTGTGTCTCCCTCCACTCCCCCCGTCCCATTCCAAGGTTATGCCCGGATTGTCTTCGCCATCATTTCCTTCTACTTCATGCCCTGCTGCCCCCTTACGGCCTCCTCCTTCTACCTGCTCAGCGGCCTTCTGGATGCTTTCGATGGACATGCTGCTCGAGCCCTTAATCAAGGTGACAGACACCCTCCCCCCAGCCAGCCTTGGGGCCCAGCAACCTTCTGCCCCCTTTTCTTGTCTCTTCAGGACCTCAGAGGCAGAGGGCTGCCTTCCCATCACTGTAGAGAGAGGAACAGAATGGCCTGGTTTTGAAGGCGTTTAATTTATGCTAGCTCTTGAGTATTCACTGCTTGGGAGGAGTGTGGGTTAGCGAGACTGTACTTGGTCGTGGCACTGCTGGAGGTCTCTCTGAATAAAAGTTTTTCCAACAGGTGTTTACTGGCGACCTACTATATGCTTGGCAGGAGCAATGGGGTTGTTTAGGGGGAGGATGGAGAGGGAATGGGAATGGCTTCTGGAGTGCTGACTAATTCTTTGCTCCAAGACTCACCTCTAAGACTTCTCCTGAAACATCAAGCCTCCTTGTCTTACCCCAGAGCCTTGGTTCCAGGGTTGATGAGTTTTGGAGATAGCTTCCCTTGCGTCCTATGCTGTTCCTTACACAGTCTCATACCTTCTCATTTCATGTTATGGTGACCCTTCCTCTAGGCAGGTGGACACTTTGAGTCTTCTTCTAGACTCTGCATCAGAGTGCCAATATGTACTACACACATCGCCCCCCAGAAGCACCTTCTTGCCTAATAATCCCCGTTTTTCAGGAACCCGGTTTGGTGCCATGCTGGACATGCTGACGGACCGCTGCTCCACCATGTGTCTGTTGGTCAACCTGGCCCTCTTGTACCCTCGAGCCACCCTTCTCTTCCAGCTCAGTATGAGCTTGGATGTGGCCAGTCACTGGCTGCACCTGCACAGGTCTGCAATTCTGGGGGTGTTGACCAGTTCAAAAGACTACAGTTTGGGGGAGGGGAACAGCTGGATGGAAAGGTACCTGGAGTGATTTCAGGCATCCTGGTAGGTCTCCTTTGTTGCTCTGCTTTGTTGAAGGATCCTGGGCAAAACTTGTCTGTGATGGGCTTCAGTCTTGTTTGCAGTTTGATTAAATAATTCCTAAAACCCTTTTGGCTGGATATTCTGGGATTCCAAATGAGAGACAGCCTATAGGAAGGAGCATGGGAGCTTTTGTTTGTTTCTTTTTCTTTTCTTTCTTTCTTTCTTTTTTTTGAGACAGAGTCTCACTTTGTCACCCTAGGTAGAGTGCTGTGGTCACAGTTCACAGCAACCTCAAACTCTTGGGTTCAAGTAATTCTCTTGCCTCACCCTTCCGAGTAGCTGGGACTATAGGCACCTACCACAACACCCAGCTATTTTTTGAGATGGGGTCTTGCTCTTGCTCAGGCTGGTCTGGAACTCATGAGCTCAGGCAATCAGCCTTCCTCAGCCTCCCAGAGTGCTGGAATTACAGGCATGAGCCACCACCCTGGCTAGCATGGGAGCTTTTGAATGTGACATTTGAAGACTGACTTTGCCCCCAGCTGGTTAACTTTGTGGCTTTGGGGAAACTACTGGTCCTCAGCTATGTGCCAGTTGCTCCTCTGTCCAACAGGGGCAATCCCAGTGCCTGCTATGTAGGGCTGCTGTGAAGAATAGGTGGACAGCAGTGGTCACAAAAGTTCATGGGTTCCCCTGTTTCGTCCCCAAGTTCTGTGGTCCGAGGCAGTGAGAGTCACAAGACGATTGACCTGTCTGGGAATCCAGTGCTTCGGATCTACTACACCTCAAGGGTGAGTGGTTCCTGCCCCACCAATCCATTCAATTTATGAGAAGTCCTGGGCTGAATCCTTGCCCCAGGTTAGGAGGGAACATAAGCTTGGAGGGGGAGGAGTCTTGGTGGGGAGGGTCTGTGTGAGTTGCTTCAGGCAGCAGGTGGGAATGAGGTCCCTGTGCACCCACCCAGAGAGGAGGAAATGAGTGGCTAGAGGGAGAAAAGAAGGAGGAAGAGAGAAGCCGGAGAGGTCTGCAGGGCCAGTGTGGACTCTACTTCAGGAGCATAGGCAGCCTCTGAGAGGATATTTAAAAAGAAATACTTTGCTGAGACATAGCTCTGTCCCCTTAGTGATGGTGGGTCTCATGGGGCTGGGTGGCACCGCCTGCCTCTAGCTTAGGAAGCCTTCTGCTGTGTGCAGCCTGCTCTGTTCATCCTGTGTGCGGGAAATGAGCTCTTCTACTGCCTCCTCTACCTGTTCAACTTCTCCGAGGGACCTTTAGGTAGGAGATGAGGGGTGGACAGGAGGATGGGAGGGGGTTCTGGCCTGCCTGAGGGGGGAATGAAGGGCCCCTACCCTAGGCCTATCACTTCCCTCCTGCCTTCCTGCAGTTGGTTCTGTGGGCCTTTTCCGAATGGGCCTCTGGATCACTGCCCCCATCGCCTTGCTCAAGTCCCTCATCAGCGTCATCCACCTGATCACAGCTGCCCGCAACATGGCTGCTCTGGACATGGCAGACCGTGCCAAGAAGAAGTGACCCTGGAACCACTGGTCCCTGACTGCCCACCTGCCCTGGGAGTCTCACTGTGCTCCCCTCCCCCTCTTAGGAGGTCCTAGTCTCATGTCTTCCTAATGTGTTGTCCAGCCTGCTGGGATGGGAGTTAGCCTCTCTTTGGTGACATCATGTTCGCTGTGGTCCTGGGGACTAGGCTCATCCCTGGAGTCCCTAAGGACTGGGGCTTCAAGTCAGGATGGATGCTCAGAAGTCTCTGTCCCTATGAGTGGTACTCCTGGGATGCCAGGAGGCCAGTCTGAGGATTCGGCATTGTCACACCCTGCTGGCTCAGCAAGATCCTGGGGTCTGGCTTGGCTTGAGTTTTAGGAACACTTGAGTGAGGAAAATGGTGTAGGAGCCAGATTTCCCAAAAGACAGGGGAGTTAAACCTTTGCCTCTGACCAGAGGAAGCCTGGGGGCACTGTGCCTGGGTGGGAAGGGGCCATCTAGGTAAAGTCCCCATTGCAGTCTCTGTCCTGTCTATCCTGGCCCTGGAAGCCTTGATAATAAAGGCGGGCGCTTCACTATCCTGGACTCAATTTCCTTTGAGACATTCTTGGATCAGGGCCTGGGCTGAGGGGTGCTTGGGAGAAAGGGAAGATCCATCTGGATGCTTTTCCTCTAGTTTGCTGTCTGGCTTTTTGTCATTCCACGGTGACCCCAGAGAGAGGCCTTCCTGCCACCCACCTGCTTTATGTCACTGGCTGTCTACATTTATTTGTATCCTTGATATTTTCTACCCCCACTAGAATGTCAACTATGAGGACACAGACTTTTCTTCTTCCCTCTCTATTCCTAGAATGAAGACCAACCTTAACCTGGCATACAGTAGCTGCTTAATAAATATTCATGAATAGATCAGTTGGTTTTTCAGCATGGTCCTTAGACCACCTGTAGAATATTCTAAAATGCAATTTCTTGGACCCTTCACCAGCCCTTCAGAGTCAGAATCTCTAGGGATGTGCCCAGAAGTCTGCAATTTTAATAAACTCCAGGAGATTCTTCCTCCCAATCAGTGTTCCTTTTGGCATTGTTTTGGTCATCTGTCCTTAACAGTTCTCCCACCATCTGATCTTTTGAAACTATGGATGTTGGGCTTACCATACGCCAGACCTTGTCTTGGGTCTTTTTTTTCTTTTTTTTTGCAGATGTTACTTATTTTAATCCTTATAATAACTTAGTGGAAAGGCCTCCATGTCCTGAGAGCTAAAATTTTTCAGCTGTGTGCTGAGCCTCAACTGTGCTAGACCCAGGGGATCTGTGAGAGTTGGGCAGCACTTCATCTTAGCTTCCTGGGCTCCCTTGGAGGGCGTGGCTTTGGGGACATGCTGTTAGGAAGGTGCTTGTTGGGGAATGGGAGTACTAGGTCATGGTGAATGGAGAAAGTTGGAAGGGATTGGGAAGAACATGCCAGTGTAGCAGAGAGGATTAATTATTAGCTGAGGGACAAGCATGCAAAGGCAAGGAGGCCAGAGAGCACCTGGGCAGTTATAGAAATTGAAATAGATCTAGATTGATGTGACTGGAACATCAAGTACTAGGGAGTTGCAGGGTGGAGAGCAGGTGAGAGATGAGGCAGAAGAAACCAGCTGGGGAAGCATTTAGACTTTGTTTCTACATTTTAAAAATTCAAGTGTGGTCCCAGCTATTCAGGAGGCCAAGGCAGGAGGATCATTTGAGGCCAGGAGTTTAAGACTAGCCTGGGCCAACAGCCAGATCTCACTCAAAAAATAAAATTTGGCTCAGTGCCCTTAGCACAGTGGTTACAGGGTCAGCCACATACATGGAAGTTGGCGGGTTTGAACCCAGCCTGGGCCAGCTAACCAACAATGACAACTGCAACAAAAAAATAGCTGGGCGTTGTGGCGGGCACCTGTAGTCCCAGCTACTTGGGAGGCTGAGGCAAGAGAATCACTTAAGCCCAAGAGTTTGAGGTTGCTGTGAGCTGTGACGCCACAGCACTCTTCCAAGGGCAAAATAATAAGACTGTCTCAAAAAAATAATAAAAATAAAATTCATTTTATTTATTCTACTGCTAACACAAGCTACTGCTGTTCTGAGTGCTATTATATGCATTAGCTTGTGTAATCTTCCAGCTGTACTGAATGCAGCCTGGCCAGTTCCACATTAGCATGAATGCCATTTATTATTGATTTAACCAGGTCCTGCCACCCTGAAGGATGCTGTGGTAAATCACCTCGCACTGCATTTGGGGGGCACTTACGGAATGAACATTGAAGGGCTGGAATTGGACAGTGGCAGGGACAGATTTGTGCTTAAAGATGTTGGAACACTATCAGCACTAACACTTCCATCCCACTGTCTACAGCTCATGCAAGGGAGGCTGGGAAACAGATTATTTATGGGCCTAAGAAGAGGAGGAAATTGAGTTGGTAAACAGCATTTTACCACAGTTATTTTTGTTGTTGAGACAGAGTCTCACTATGTCACCCTCGGTAGAGTGCCATGGCGTCACAGCTCACAGCAACCTCAAACTCCTGGGCTCAAGCGATTCTCTTGCCTCAGCCTCCTAGGCAGGTGGGACTACAGGTGCCCACCACAATGCCCGGCTATTTTTTTTTTTTTTTTGGGGATTTTTGGGCCAGGCTGGGTTTGAATTGACACCTCCTGTATATGGGGCTGGCACCCTACTCCTTTGAGACACAGTCGCCGCCCCAGCTATTTTTGTTTTGTCGTTGTTTTAGCTGGCTTGGGGCAGGTTTGAACCTGCCAGCCTCGGTGTATGTAGCCAGCGCCCTGCTCACTGAGCTACAGGAGCTGGTTATTTTCTTGTTGCAGTTATCATTGTTTAGCTAACCTGGGCTAGACTCAAACCCGCCAGCCTCCGTGTATGTGGCTGGCACCATAACCACAGAGCATGGGCCCCAATCCTGAGTATGAGTTTTCTTACAAAAGAGGTCCTTAAATCAATTGCCTTCACTAGTAGTCAACCAAAGAAAAGTCCTTTATTCCAGTGCTGGAGAAAAATAGGTTGTGTTGAACTTCATCAGAAATCACACTGTTCTATATTTGTGGGGAATTTTAGGAACATTCAAGGGCAAATTTGATAACTAACTTAGAATTGAGCTCTAGTGAGAAGTAGGGCTCTACTGTCTTTGCAGCCAGGCCTGTCTTCCCCCACCATATAGCTGTGAGGGGCCCATCTCCAGGCACAGAATTCTATAGCTGTTTCCTGTTACCTCGGGGACTTTACAATCCTGTGAAGTACATGTAATCAGGATAGGTGGGTTATGCTATGGTAACAGCCCCACCCCAAATCTCTTAATATAGTACTCCTGCTACGTGTCTTTCGTGGGTCAGCTGTGGCTCTGTTTCATGCCACCACCTTCCTGGGACCCAAGCTGATGGAGCAGCCTCTACGTGAACCATTGCTGGTCACCGTGGTGGTTTCATTGGCCAGGGCAAGTCACATGGCCAAAGCCTGCCAGCCTTTAGACATCCACGCGGAGACATCAGATCATTAATTGGAAATGAGTCCAGAGCTCAGGGGTGAGATCAGGGCTGGAGAAATAGATTTCGGTGTCAGTGGTGGAGAGTTTATGTAAGGCCATGAGACTGGCTGAGCATGTGGGTAAGAAAGAGAAAGGTGCCTATGGAAACCGGCAATTTAGAAGCCCAGCAGAGGAGCAGCCACAACCAAGGGAGAAAGAAAAGCAGAGCAGAGGCTGTCGGGCAGCTCAGTATGGAAGGAGGGGTGGCCAGCTGTGCCGAATGATGGGGAAGGCTGAACAGAGGACAACACAACTGTGGGATTTAGCAACAGGACATCACCAGGATGCCAATTAGAGCAGTTTCCATAAAGCAAGGGGTGGAGACAGAAGCTAACTATAGGGGTTTGAAGAGGTAATGAGAGGTGGGGAATGGAAACTGAGACCACAGAACTCTGGGGAAATTAGGCTGTGAAGGAAAAACTGAGAAGAGGGGGCTGTTGGTTAAGGAAGAGTTTTTGTTTTATGTGGGAGAGAGTAAGACAGGTTTGTATGCTGATGACAACAGTCCAGGCAGAAGGAAGAAATTGATGGCTCAGGAAAGGAAGGTGATCCACGTAGGAGTGAGTGCAACCTTTGAGGACTCAAGATGGGTTGGGTCTAGAGTCTAAGGGGAGGAGTTCTCAGTAGGAACAGAGTCCAGGTGGACAGATTTGTTGCTGGGAAGGGGAGGGCCTTCCTGCCCAATCTGCTGCTATTTTCTCAAAGAGGTGAGAGAAAGTGGGCAGGAGTGTAGGAGGTTGAGAAGAGAGGAGGTGCAAATGGTTGTTTTGAAGGGGATCCCACACAAGATAGAGGAAGATAGAGCAATTAGGCCTCCCTTAAAATGTCTTGCCATGAGTTTAAAATGAGATCAGTCAGCTGGGGTGGTGCTCCTCTTCCTGTGACATGCAGCTAGTCAGAGTCAGGGGCGGTGCAGGGAGGGAGGGGGCTTTTCCACTAAGCATCACAGGAGAAGGAAGAAGCATGGAATCTAAGCTGGGCAAGTCTGAAATGAAGAGGGGCAGGAGGTTGTTGATGGAAAGGTGTTTGGGGTCATCATAGCCTCAAGGGAGGAATAGTTGGTGGAAAGCAAGGCTGGGGCAGCAGAGCTGAGGTTTCAGGGGTAGTGTGGCTGTTGGTAATGGCAATGTTCAGGGGTGGCCAGAACAAAGGAATATACCACCAGGGACATTGCTTGTCACACTGTCCCCAGAGGCCAGTAATAAACAGCACTAACACAGCAGCATTTAATACGCATGAGGTACCAGACAAAGAGCTTTAAATTAATGACTTCTCTTGAGGGAAGGTGTAGGAGAGTTTGGGGATGGAGGGGCTGACTCACTTGCCTATTTCACACACTGAGCCTGCACCACCAAGCGCTGTGCGCTAACTGCAGCTTATACTTGAGTTGAGCCACTGGCCACACAAATTAACCTGGGAAGAAACAAGGCTCATTGTGGTGGGCCCCTATAGTTCCAGCTACTTGGAAGGCTGAGGCAAGAGAATTGCTTAAGCCCAAGAGTTTGAGGTTGCTGTGAGCTGTGACACCACAGCACTCTACCGAGGGCAACAGTGAGACTCTGTCTCAATAAACAACAACAAAAAAAACCAAGGCTCATAAGGTCACCCCTCCCAGTAGAGGAAAAGGGATAAGACCATCAAAAAGTCATCATTCATTATATTTGTGCACCAACCCAGCTCAGTAGAGGAACTGCTGGCTCATTTCACAGATGGGTAAAGAGATCAGAGAGATTGCGTCATCTTCTCTTGCACACAGCAAGGAAACTCAAGCTTCTCTCCCTAGACCCAGGCTTTTTTAAACTTCCTCTGCAGAGGAAGGCCTGACACCTACAGCTCTACCTGGCAGCAGGGGCCTGTTGTGCCTGAGCTGATTGCATTTGTATCCATCTACCAAGGGCCCTTACTGTTTGTGGAGCAGGGTAGGAAGAGAGCACTCCCACCCATGCAGAAGCCCATGGGGGGACTTCAGTTCCTACTGCCCTGGGCAGATTCCTCCCCAATCTGACACATCCCTATCTGAGGACAGACAAGCACACAGGGCAGGGTGTGGGCATGGCACACCCACTGGTGCCCCCCACAGGTGCTGCTGAAGGGAGCCCAGGAAGCTAGGCTGCAGCTGGAGGGTGGGGGTGCAAGGAGAAACCTGCCTTGAAAGCAGCCCTCAGGGAAAGCTTTCTGGGCAGTGGGAACAGCCAGTGTGAAACTCCCCAGCCAAGCTGGGCTCCTGGAGGATTTGGCAGGGAGATGTCCAAAGTGCAGAGCTATTCCAGAGGGGTCAGACAGGTAGGACCCATCATCCTGTGTTATCATTTTCCCAATATGGGCTCTAGGGAAACTGACTGCCAGAAAGACTGCTGGCTCAGTGGGCAAGGCTTTAGGGACACATTCCTACTAGCGTGACTTTGGGGAAATCCTCTCCCTTTACAGATGAGAGTAGTCTCTGCTAACTACCTCAAATTTCATGGTACCACCTGCTACCACCATTAAGCTCTTTTGTGACTCAGATTTGAAACACACAGAAAAGGGTTTATTTATTTACTTTGAGACAGAGTTTCACTTTGTTGCCCTGGGTAGAGCAAGGTAGCATAATAGCACACAGCAACCTCAAACTCCTACGCTCAAGCAATCCTCTTGCCTCAGCCTCCCAAGTAGCTGAGACTACAGGTCTGCACACTATGCCCAGCTAATTTTTCTATTTTTAGTAGAGACAGGGTCTCACTCTTGCTCAGGCTGGTCTGTAACTCCTGAGCTCAAGCAATCCACCTGTCTCAGCATCCCAGAGTACTAAGATTACAGGAATAAGCCACCCTGCCTGGCCCACAGAAAATGGTTTAAATGCCTAGAAACATACATTGCATTTGTCAGAGTTAGTGAAGTATAGGCACTATGTGATTGTCCCCAGGACCCTGAGGGGCAGAAAAGGGCTGGGAAGTCAAGCCCTCTCGAGGGCCAGGTCCACTGGCCACCTTTTTGGTTGAGGACTGAGCCTCAGACCCCAGCCCCAGCAGCCCCAGGGCTGTACTGAAGAGGTTGATGGGAGTGGAGCCATCGGTGATGAGGGTTGATTTCAGGCCCAGGGACTGGAGCAGTTTTACCTAGAGGGAGAGAAAAGGAAGAAGATAAGATGGGGCTGATCCTGGTCCTTCTCTCATCTCTTCAGCTGCCTCTCTAGGGAACTAAACTTCAGACTGACTCTCCTTAAACAAAGTGGCTTGCAGTGTCACCTTCCCCTTCATCCGATCACCCTGCTGGGCTTCCTTCAAAAATACTTATCATACATGGATATCTCATCTGCTTGCTGTCTCCCCTTGGGAGCTCCAGCTCATGACTGAGTCCATTACAGGACTGATGTAGCAGGAGGCCGTGCTTGACTTACACATGGCAGAGGAACAGTTCACTCACCACCTGCCCTCACCCCTCCACCCCCAACAACTTTCAAGATGTTGCATGCTTTGGGCTCTGCCTTCTTGGTTCCAAGACTGGTCCTAAGACCAACTCCCCTTCCCCCATTCTCACCTGCATCTCTGGCCCAGCCACAGCAAGGTCCCTGATGGTGCTGGGGCCCAGGGCCTCTGTCATCTGCTTAAACTTCTTCACCTCCACCTCGGCCAGCTGTTGGGCCTTCTTCACCTCCAGCTCCAGCTGAGCCCGGGCATAGACCAGTTCCATCTCTCGTACTTTCTGTACCCGCTGGAGTTCAGCCTCCTAGAAAGGGAAACACACAGCATTTTTTAGAACTTGTGGCCCCTGGGAACTGTCCAGTAAGTCACCCTGGCTAGCAGGCCTAAGGGAGCTGAGGGAGAAGGGATGGAATTGTAAATTCAGTCAGGATACTCCACCCTCTGTCTAGCAACTTTTTTCTTTTTTGAGACAGAATCTAACTCCATTGCCCTTGGTAGAGTGCTGTAATGTCATAGCTCACTACAACCTCAAACTCCTGGGCTCAAACAATTCTCTTGCCTCAGCCTCCCAAGTAGCTGGGACTATAAGTACCCACCACAATGCCCAGCTATTTTTAGAGGTAGAGTCTCACTCTTACTCAGGCTGCTCTTGAACCTGAGCTCAAGAGATTCAACTGCCTCGGCCTCCCAGAATGCTAGGATCACAGGTATGAGCCACTTCACCCAGCCTCTGTGTAGCAACTTTTTTTTTCTTTTTGAGGCAGAATCTCACTATGTCACCCTTGATAGAGTGCTATGGCATCACAGCTCACAGCAACTTCAAACTCTTGGGCTTAAGCGATTCTCTTGCCTCAGCCTCCCAAGTAGCTGGGACTATTGGTGCCTGCTACAACGCCTGGCTATTTTTTTTTTCCCTGCTGTTTTTAGCTGGGGCTGGGTTTGAACCCACCACCTCCAGCATATAGGGCTGGTGCCCTACTCCTTTGACCCACAGGTGCCACCCACGCCCGGCTATTTTTTTTTTTTTTTTTTGTAGTTGGCGTTTAGCAGGCCCTGACAGGGTTCAAACCCACCAGCCCTGGTGCATGTGGCTGGTGCCCTAACCACTGAACACAGGTGCTGAGCCTGTCTAGCAACTTTTGGGAATTCCTCAATCTGAGCATCAGCCCCTCATCTGTGAGATGGAGATACAGACCTTTTTTTTTTTTTTTT